TCTGCAACACAAGTGCAACAGGATGTAGGCAGTGGAAGAGCGCAAGAGACTTTTGCTCTGAACTCCCAGCGGTAACAAAACAAGCAACAAGGCAGTCCGTGTTTTTAGGTTTCCGTGAAGAAAGGTATTCATCTGGACATGATTCCTTCATCTGCACCAAGGCTAGCAGAGATCCTGTAGGAATGTCTGGACTTTGTTACTGATTCCCTTTGCAATGAGCTAGATCTCTGCTAATGTAGTGTGCCGTAGCTCCACTGACTTCAGTGAAGTTATGGCAGTTTATAGCAGATGAGGTCATTCGCTTAATTCTGTGATTTAATTTCACTATCTGTAAAACAGGAATAATACCATTTACTTTTATAAAGTGCATTGAGATCCTTGCATGGAAAAGTGCTGTATAAAGGCAAAACATGGTTAATATTTTCATACAAGCACAGGAGTTTCCTGTAAATGCTTGGCTTTCAGTTGGGAATACATTTAGCTGGCAGCCTTTCAGTGTGGAAGGGAAAGCACAATAGCCTGAAGACAAGAACGAAGACAACCCAACCTCTTCTGTTTGTTGGATTTTCTTTTTTCCCCCCTTTTTTATGTAATTCTCCATTGCTGGAAAGAATAGGTGCCAGAGCCTTGGAAAGTCTTTCACGTCACAGATTTTCTGATACCTTATTGTTGTTCTGTGAAAGTTGGGGTCGGCTAAAGTTTTAAAATAAATGTTTTTATCTCCACAGTTAGAAAATTTTTAGAGCACACAGAACCAATCTACTTGAATTGATCTTATACTCTGAAAAGCGTCGCTTTTGCAGTAGCTTGCAAGTGAGAGAGTGTGAACTGTAAGCGCTTAAAACCAAGCATTGTAATTACTGCCCTAATTGGGCTCATTAATTTCAAAAAATTTACTTGTGATAATATACACGTATTTACCGCTTAGTAAGATTTTGTCATATATAGTGCTGTAGTTAGCATATAATAAGAAAGTATGGTTTGGCTTATGGAGCTTTAAGGGAAAGGTCCTACTTTTTTCTTGCAAGTGTCTCATTTATCTATTCACACCACTGGTCTTTGATCAAATTAACATTTTACTGTAAGTAGAAGAGCACTCAGTTCACATGATTCATTATCTTGTCAGGAAACAATGAGAATAATTCATACTGGATCTATTGTATAAGGCTTTTCTTTTTTTTAATTGGTAAGCACATGGCAACGTTATGATCACGCCCTACTTGCTTCACTCTTAACAGTATAATATTTACATATGATATTAAGGAGAATTGAAGTATTTTGGAATATTTATTTTACCAGGGAGGGAACTCTGTGCTGGTTTACCAGTGCTATAGAAAGGAAGAGGAATTGTCTGACCGAGGTACAATAGCACCATTAGACGTTAACGGAAAATTCAAATTATCTTCACTGCCGCTAGCAGTGTTACTGTCAATGGTCATTGCTGTTTTTCTAGACAATTCGTAGGAGGTTCAGAAGTAAGAAACCAAATGTTTTAGCACTGAATGATCAAAGACAACTCTAGTAGGAAATACATATTTCTTAAGTAAAGTGGATAGCATCATACAAAGTGAAGGTTGTTTGAACTTGCCAGTGGCTCTAAGTTGTGTAAGTTTGCTAGATTTTGGCTATTTTCCATATTGGGTGTCTGGCTGCATACTCTTTTTTTATTTCAGGAAAAATTGCTCAACCATTTCTAACAATAAGATTGGGGAAAGAAACTCTAGCTTTTCTCACATGTTAAGAGCTGTTCTTGCGGTTTTGATGAGAAGCCTGCAGTGCCCACATTGAAGAGCAGGGCCTTGGCACTTGATGAGGGAGGATTTGCCTTTTTCTCAGGGTTGCATCTTCTGTTGCTTCAAGTAGCAAAAAAGCCCCAAGTTTGGCCAGCGTGGAAGCATCTGAAAAAATCTGAAGTTCACACGAACTCCAGAGAATCTGGTTTGAATTTGTCCGCTTTGATGTTTGCGTCTGGCCGAAGCATGCTGCAGGCTGCCGCGGCGCTGGCCGAGTGAGCACGAGCTAGCCAGGTTTTTCACTTTTTGTTGCAATAAGCCGGTGCCGTTTTGGCGCAGAGCACTGGAAGAGGGGACGTTCCTCTGCGCTACCCGGGCTGAGAAGGACATAACGGGGGCAACGGCAACGTGAAAGCATAGAAAACAGGCCCAGGGCGTGGAGATGGAGCATGGAAAGTCGCAGTGAGGGTGGGAAAAGACTGAGACCAGGTCAAGGAAATTGTGAGAACAGCCAGCAAGGCAGAAGAGGAAGGAGGGAATCATCAGGGTAAGACAAATTCTGGAGGTTGGTGGGTATCGTTAGGTTGCTCCTTTTGCCCACTTGTAGGCGGTCACTATTAAGCTCGCGGGAAAGAGCAGTGCCACTAGGCCGGCAGCCACAACGGTTTCATGCGGGGACAAGCAGCAGGGAGAGGCAAGAGAGGCAGAACAAGGGCTTGAGAGGGGTTCTCCAAACAGAGCCTCTCCTTCCAATCCCTCATGCCTGGTGGGGTTGTTCCCTGCCGTTACCTCCCCGGGGATTTTGTGCCAATACGCTCATTAATGTCGCTGAAGCACTGAGATACCAGAGTGGTGGAAACCAAAGTAAAGCGGGTGGAAGTGATTAATTCTGTCAGCAGAAGAGGATGGGATTAGGTTGCAGTACGTAAGCCGTGGAGGTCACGTGCTGAACAAGGAAGATAAAACAAAATATTTGTTCACTGAGAAATACTCATCCGGTGAGTTGCAAGAAGTAGGGGTTTCATTGGCGGGGTGGGGGGGAATAACGTGTTATTATGCATTTAAAGAGTATGCATCATAAAGCAACATACACAAGGGGATGGCTGAACATACAGGCAGTGTTGGGTTTGGCTTATCAAAACTTTTAAGTGCATAGTTTTGAAACTGTAACGTTCTTTTAACAGGTTTTGTGTGTAATTTATAATTTATATTGTAATAGCGCCTAAAAGTGCTTTCTGGACAGTGAAGGCATTCACTGAAGATGTACATAAGACACTGAAGACGTATATAATTGTGGCTCTGGAAAGCTTACCTTCTGGGAAAAAAAGAAAAATTGACCAGTATTTTCCAAACAGAATCGTCCGAAGTTTCTGCTGATTTATTTTTAACAGCGCGTACTATGAAATCTTGCCGAGTGTTATTCACAGGATTGCAACAGGTGTTCTGAATTGGCTGGGGAGACGATGTAGAAAGGGCAGCTGACAGCTTACTGTATATGCAGATGTAACATCTATTAGAAATATCCTCTGTGGTTTCCTTGCATGCAAGCTGAATAGATTCTCAAAACAATGCCGCTGTGAATGGAAGCCATCAGCAGAATCGCTTAAGGCTGTAAAACCCATTACTTACACGACAAGAGATGCAAGAGCAAGTACCGCAGTCTAGTAACTTGTCCTGCTTTGCAGTAGTTCCGTAGTGGTTATTAGATCAATATATTCACATATACCTCGAATGCAATGAGAGGAAATATTTTATCTCAGTCTGAAGTGTTAGCTCTGTTCTTTTATCCTGATGTTATCCAGCCACAGAAACAGCATAAACTTTCTCTTTTTTTGGTCTGCCTTTTTAATGTTGCTGCCATTTGTTCGTGCACACAATAGGCTGCGTCCTGTGTTCTCATTATTAGAGCCCTGTTACTCTACTTTTTACAATCACATTTTAATTACTGCCATAGAACCTCTGCAAAATCATTTAATATAATGTTGTGAGCAAATAGCGCAGATGATGTATTTAGTATTTGATTGCCTTTAGTTTACTGATTGACTAAACATGCAGGCAGAGTCTCTGCTTGACTAGTACATAAGTCGGAGACCGTGCACACGCAAAGGGATATAGGTTTTTATATTCGCTGAAAAAGAGAGGAGTTTGGCACACAGAAATATGGCAGTTATGGTGGCTTAAAGATGGTAGTGTGAATTTATTATCCAATAAAGGAAGAAAGATGTCAGTATAAAGGGTAGGAGGTAGTGAATAAAAGTTTTGGCCTTGATGGGTGGCAGCTCATGGCTTTGGAAGAGTTGGCATGTCTTGGAAGTGGAGATAGAAGATGACTTTTAGCAGTTTTCTGCCGAAAGTGAAGCGTGGACTGCGTGGAGCAGCCCGGGTGAAAAGTAATGATTACCTGAGGAGGTAAACAATGTGTTTAAAAAAAAAAAAAAAAAAAGCCTCTTGGCCATATACTGTAAAAATAACCAGGTTTTGTTCCACTTTTCCTCATGAAAACTAATATGCAGTAATGGAAAGACTTAGCTGCTATTTACTGCCTGAAGTTACTGATCCACCTGTCTCCACCCCGGCTCCTGCATGGAAAATCTTTCCGCAGAATTCTGCCTTCCCCCTTTCTATCGTTATTCAGTATTTGTATGGCAATTTTGTGTAGTAGCCAAGTCATGGGCTTATCAGATATTGCACAAATCCTCAGCAGTTGGTAACTGATCTGTGCAAAATTGTCAGTGTAGGGTTAAATATTGTTGAATAAATAGACCTGCTGAAAGAACTGACTCTACCAATTCAAGTTTTAGGAAATAATTCCTGAAGAAAGACAATCCGCAACGTTGTCTGTGTGTTAGAGAGAATGGTCAGAGTATCTTTTAATTCAGCATTTACCCCTGAGAATTATTCCCATGAGGAACTTTGCAATAAAATCTGCTTGGTCTATGAGAATAGAAAGAAATTGAATAAAAAGACTCCATTTCCACTTGTATTTATTCAGTCTGGGAAATTCAGTGGGCCGCAGCATTAGTATCAGCAGGGGATTCCTTGCTCCTAGCGTTAAATTACTGTCATAATCGCTCAATTATTTCTTCCTTGTACTGTTTAAAATAAAAATCCATCACATTCTATGTTTTTTTCTAACATTTATTAGGTTGAGTGTTTAGGAAAATCAATTATATTCAGTCAGGCATGAATTGATGAATGTTCTTGTAATAATTGTCAGTTGTTAAACTGAATGTACTTTCTCTTTTCACCCCTTTTCATTTCCTTCAGAGGGCAGAGGTGGCTCAGAGAGAGGCAGAGACCTTAAGGGAGCAGCTCTCGTCAGCCAACAAATCTCTCCAGCTCGCTACACAGATCCAGAAGGCACCTGATGTGGTGAGAGAAAATATTTACTGACTCTTACAGGTTTCTGACATTCCTGCAGTACGGCTCTTTCAATTTATGCTCACAGCTAGAAAAAGAGCAGTTTGGAATAATATTTTAAACTGAACTGGAATTGTGTTGCCCAGCGTTGCAATTTGGTTAAACTTGCGGAGTTTAACTTGGTGGGTGGCTGCGGAGGACCACAAAAGGGAGAGCAGTCGCTCCGTGCCTTGGTGACCAGCTTGATGGTCCATAGCTTTTCCTCAGCTGCCAGAGTCCAGGCAGATAGCACCAACTCTCCGAAATTATTTCGGATCGCTAGGAGCTTCAGCAGAGGAGAAATAAAAGAAGCAATGCAATATAGCGAAGGATGCCTTGAGCAGCTGTTAGCGTGCGCCTGTCGAGGGCGCGCTGGGGAGGCCTGCAGCTTTGGACCGAGGGGCTTCGGCTGACCTCCCCTAAAGAGCCCGAGCCTGCGCCCCATTGCCAGGGCATGTTATTCTTGGCATATGGCTTTCAGGGAAATTGGAGAGGAAATTCTCTACCGTTCTGGTTTTCCCTGACTATTTCTATCCTGCGAAATACAGCAGTAAATCTAATAGAAGCAACTCAGAGAACTGAGAAGACAGCCTTTCCTCCAAGAAGTTTGCTTGGTTGTTGCCTTCTTCTCAAGGTTTCCAAATGGAGCGAATACCTCCGTTTGGGGAGCCTGGTAGCACTGCCTCTCGGCCAACTGGACCTTGCGGGCGCAGAGCACTGTTATGGGACTCCAGCTGGTCCTGGGTTAGCAGGTACCACAGATGAGCAGACAGATTATGTTGATTTTTGTTTGCCCAAGGAGAAACAGGAGTACTGAAATGTAAATATGCAATTAAATAAAATTTGGTCTACTTCTAAGCAGTGAATTTAACCAACAAAAGAAATCATGGTCTTCAGGATGCTTTTTCCAGTGAGCCGCATACATTCTTGACAGTGATACCAGAGAAACACGCAGTTGCCTTTAAAATATGTTTGCAGAGAACGAGTAACAAACCATAAGTCCTCCAGGTCTGTTCTGTCTGCTTTTAATGTGACCCAGTGTTTTCTCAGACAAGTCAAAAGATATAGACACAGGCTGTAAAGAAAAAAAAACACATAATAAAAAGGCTGAATATCACTTGTAACTCTGAATTACCTGCCTCTTCCTATCTTGTGTCCTAGTCTTATCATTATTTTAACATTAGGTCTTTCTTGTATTTAATAGTACTTCTGCACTTCATTTATATTTAATATGACAACTACTGCAGGATGAAAATGATCATTATCTATCTTATTTCAGACTCTATGTTCTATTCTCAATAGGCATAAGCAGCAGATGATTATACAACTTGTGATGTTTCATGCAAGCAAATTAGAGGGTTTTTCAAGTTAAAAGTATAATTCAGGGTAATAGGAGAACGTTGTTAACTGCTGTTCGTACACGTAGTTTTCCGTGCGGCACAATGGTATGTAGTCACTGAGAATCAAGCAAAGTATTTAGAAGACTTAGTTGTGCTTGTACCCTCCAGAAAAGAGGGTACGTGCTGTATTTCAATCTGCTGCAACGTCATCTTGAATTGTAAGGAAAGTGCCTGGGTGACAGTATCTGTGGGTTAAATTTTCAGCTCTTTCGCCGTAGGATCTTTGGTTTAATGCTTAATATCATCGTCTCTCTCTTGGTAAATGGATTCTTTCCTACTTCACTGCTGTTTTGTGAGGAAGAGCCATTAACCTCTGTAAGATGCTTTTTAGGGTTTTAAATGGGATATGTGTTAATTATTGGGCTACCTTGTGCTCCCTAGATCCACACAAGGATTTCCTTACGCTCTTTGTGGAAGAAAGGTTCAGCATCCTCTGATACATTAGTAGCTATCGATCTCTTAACTCAAAAAGCAGAAAAAAGAGATAGTACAACTAGTCTGTGTTAACTTTTTTGAATAGATCTACCTTCTCCTTTCCACCTCTGTCCCCTCTTTTTTCATGCCCTGTTGTAAAGTCAGTCTAGTGGAGATGTTTTAGTCTTGAGGACAGATTTCACAGCCTTTTCCGTGGAAATTAGTAGAAGAAATATCCTGGTTTAGGGAAGGAAATTTCGAAAAGTGGAGACCCTGGGGAGAATGCCGTTGTCTTACAGTTGTCATGTGTGCCCCCTTCCCCATGGAGGAGACGCTTTAGTTGCTGGCAATAACATAACAGTGAACAATTTTCATGCAAGGAGCATGTTCAGTGCAGCAGTTTGGGGCAATTTTTGACAATTTTGCCTGAAATAAATGGCGTACATGTGAAGAGCCAAAGGCACATGTCTCTGCAGTTCATGATTAAGAAATTCTGCTCCATTACTTCAGAATATTTTATCTGATTAATATTTTGTAAGCACAGATTTTCATAATTGTCAAAGCACTTGGACTATTAATAATGAATAGGGCTAAATAGAGCCCTTTGACTTTCTCTGCTGCGCCTTCCCAGTACGCTTACAAAATAGTTTACAAAAGAGTTTATTTTCTCTCTTATCCCCATTTTACCAAGAGTAATCCCGGGGAGTAAAGAGGTTGATTTTCCAGGTCCACACAGTAAATCCCAAGAGATCCCACATTTAGAAATCATTTCTGTCTCTCATGCCGTGCTTGGTCCTTACCAAACTGCCCCTCATTCAAGCTTGTAGCCTTTATTTATGTGGTTTAATATTAAATTTTCTTCACATCAGGAGCAGGCCATCGAGGTGCTAACACGGTCCAGCTTGGAAGTAGAACTGGCTGCAAAGGAGCGGGAAATTGCCCAGCTCGTAGAAGACGTCCAGAGACTCCAGGGCAGCCTCACCAAACTGCGGGAGAACTCCAGCAGCCAAATCTCACAGCTGGAGCAGCAGCTGACTGCCAAGAACAGCACACTCAAAGTAAGGAGCAGTTCTGTGCTCAGCAGTTTTTCAAGTGTATGACTGACATACCAATATTGGGTTTTACTAATACAGGCTTTCTATGGTTCTGAGAGGCACCATAAAAGCTATTTACTTCTTCAGAATACTGTTGAATTCCAGTTTCTGGGATGTTTTAGTCTAATTGATCACAGTTTTACTGAAATGTAATTTACCTTTTTCTAGTTCTCATTGTTTTGAAATTTGTTTTTGCAGAACGTGGCCACCATTAGAATTAAAACCAACAACAAAAACCAAAACATATTTACCATGGATATGTAGTGAAGTGGCTGAACTGGAAAAGGCACAGAAAATCTTTTTTAGGTTTCAAAACTTTAAATTCTCATTCCAATGTTCAATGTTACTGTTTTGCCAGGGACGCTTATTGTGCCATAGTCTTTCTTAGAATGTACCCACTACCCCCTCCAGTTCTCCTTCCACTGGAAGAGAGAAGTGGATCATTTAGTACCTAGAAACAAGTAAAATTAAGACACAGAAGGAAGGCTTTTTAGCCTTAATAAGAATTTTAATTTTTTTTCAACTGTTTGCTGCACAGTAATTCCCGTTGATAATTAGCAGCCCAGTCCCGTACTCATTTGCACACCAGTGGCACTTCCCTAAAACCACAGGAGCAGAAACATCTGACTGCTTCACAAGTGACCCCTTTACCTTTGGCTTCAGCAGCTTTACTTTCTTTGTGTGCTCTTCCCCACATTTTTGATCTATCAGTAAGGCTGAGAAATGCTTCCTGACATCTGTTATGAATCAGCTTCCTGTAACTCCTGTCTCCTTCATTGTTCTACCATCTATGAGTTTCACATGGTAAACAAGATAAATTTATCTATTCCATTAAAGGCTTCACATTTTTTTAGGTTTTATCATTTGAGTTTTTGAAAGCAGGAGGCTGATAGTACCCACTTAGCTAACTGTGGCGTGGGTAGCTTTTCTCTATCAGCATGATTTAATGTTCAGCCGAGACCCTTACAAAGTGTTCTGCTTCTGACATCTTTTAGAGGATACTAGTTTTGCTCTTTTAGGGTATACTTTATGTGGACAAATGTCGGCTAGGGATGAAATTTGAAGTGTTGTGTTCAGTACGTTTTTTCCATGTTTTAAGACAACCTCGCAGAATTTTCATGAAAATTCAGCAGAGCAAAGGAAATCTATTTGGTTCCCGTATTGATGGTATCAGTCTCTGCCCATCTGTCACCGTGTGTGCACCACTCTTAATGAGGGAGAAAGGAGCTGGCCTCGTTTGGAGGGACAGATTTTGCTGGCTACACCCATGTTATGGTTTGTTTGTTTGGGGTTTTGTCCTTTTTTTTTTTTTTTCCCCCCTCTTAAAGCCTGATAGAAAATATCTTGAGTCCTTGCACTTGACAGATTTTCTTGGAATAAAGCATGTTCCTGTTGAGGTCAGTATTAGTTTAGCCATTAACTTCAAAGGGAGTCGGATCATAGAAATGACAGAGCAAGTCTTTGATTTTCATTTCAGTAATCTCCTTCCATTTTCTCCTAGGCTTGTCTGGCTAATGCTCTGTATTTAGGTTCCTGTTGATAGTCTGATGCAGTGACTCTATTGATAAAAGTTTTAGTCATTTCAACCCTGTTTCACCTTATTTGCTGCACTATAAAAATGCTTAATATAGCTTTTTTTTCCCAGAGTGCTGGGAAAACCTGTGTCTGAGATATGTTGTACAAAAAAGCAAATCTCAGTGATGATGTGTTGACCTCGTGTTTGATTATAGAGGTATTGCTTCCAAAATAACTGAGATTGTAATGGTTGCCTCCACAAAAAATGATTCACAGTTTCACAAATTAAAGCAATGTTCTCAGACCATATCTTGGGGGAATTCTTTAATAGTCTATGACTTAATGAAACAATACAGAAATACTTTCAAACTTACTGCTCCTTTATCCTCGTCTGATCTAATAATCAAAACATGTCCTCTAGTAGCAAGGCTTTTCTAACTGTAATTATATTAACCCTTTGTTGCTGGAAGTTAGAGCTTCCCAGCTATCCAGCTAAAATACAACAGTGCTAGTTAGCCAAGACATATTAAAGTCAAATGACCTTGGTTAATTGAGTAAGACACTTTTAATTTTGGTTGGCTTTTTGGTTTATCACTGAGAACTAAACTAAAATGTTATTCTGATTAAGTTGCTTAACATATTAAGCCCCTTAATACAGCCAATGCTGTTTTAACCAAGGAAAGGCACTTTAATTATTTATTAATAGAGTAATGATTATTTGTTTTCTTAAAATAATTTAAGAGGGGGCCCAGTCTGTGCATGCTCCAGGATTGTTGTTCCCGGCTTCATTAGCACGGTGAATGCAAGAAGATTCCCTGACATGGAATATTTCCAAATTTCCATGTGTGTGTAGAAATGCCACTGGTCCGTTCCTTCCGTCCCCTGCCTCTGTGCATCTTTGTGTGCTGGAAGACATTCGAACACTCTTTGTTTTGTCTGAATTAACCAGGTTGATATTTAGTGCAAGAGATTAGTTCCTCCAGATTGTCTCACAGCTTGAACTTTTGTTATGCTCTGTTCTGTGCATTTTACAGGGTTCTTTGAGACTATTACCATACTAATACATTTTAAAACAGTCATTGACTGGGAAGATGCCAAGGGCCTAAATGGTCTGCTCCCGTACAGACACAGCAGTCTCAGATGTTAGTTTGGGTTGTTTAGAGTATAAGTTAAGGTGCAGATTTTCCATGGCAACAATCTCTATATGAGCTACTTAGGAATGATGGATGAATGGGGTTTTGTTGTTTAATACTGTTCAAAGTAAAATATTGCCATTCTGTTATAACAGCGTAAAAGTGATCTTGTATCCTGAGACGCAGAAACAGCTTCATTCCATCAATATCTTCTTTTTTAAACTGTATGTTTAGTAGCTAAAATTTTCTGAAATACCTACTGGGTATAGCAGTATATTCTATATACCTATATAGAATTACATTTAATTTGTATTGGCTTAAAAATTGGAATCATTTGTTTTTCTGTATCTTATATCTGTCCCTACAAAAGGCTTTTTTATTACCATATCTTTGCATAAGTAACGAATACATTAAACCAAGACGTATATATTGTTTTTGAATTTGCTCCATTACAGTGGTACTCAGTATAAAAAATAAATAGCCAGTTAGCCCTACTGTAATAGCTATTCTGCTGTAGACCCAGAAATGTTGTGCTGTCGTATGAGTTGCAGTGTTGAGGGAAAGATGGTGGTGTAGGGCATCTTTGCTTTAAAAAAGCAAAAAGCAGCAAAAAGCTGTTACAACTGGCCAGAGAGGCATGGCCAAGGGTAGCAGAAAGATGTAGTGGCGAGTCCTGCACTGCTCTCCCTTGGCTGCATCAAATTTTAAGGATGTCAGTCCTGATGCTGAATCCTCTTGCCGGTCCCAAGGGCTCCCGGACTCGCTGCTTTCATTTAAAGGATACCTCTCCAGGCTTAGCACGCCTGGGCTGAGGTTCGAAACTGTCTGTCTGGAGTCCTAACAGCATTTTGCTCGGCATCAAGCTGCAGCTGGAAAAGCTGCTTGAACTTGTGGCATCTGCTGGCCTTGCAGAAGACTTGCAGAACCAAAGTGATGCTTTTGGACCCTGCGATTACATATTAGGTTTGCAAAATGAGATTTCATCCCATATTGGAGGTCATCAAAACAGCTGTGATATTTCTGTAGGATTTTCCTAGTTACATCGGCATGGGAGCTCTTAGCAAGTCTAAAACCCCTGTAGCGTCATGCCTGCCATATAAAAGCAAAGCCAATACTTCCTGTAATTCCCGTGTCTTCTTTTGGTAAGGCAGGAGATGTCAGAAGAAATCAGTAACACTTGCCCTGTATTTTGCCAGGTGAAGAAATTTTTTTTAGCCATATAGGTGTGTGGTTTTTTTTTTTTTAACACAATTAGAATGACTGCACAAGTTACTGATTTCTAAGCATGGTAAGACGTAAGACGTTTTAAGAGGCAGTTCATATCATCAGTGTCCCACAGAGAGCAAATTCCATGTCTCAAACCCGTTTCTGCTCTCCTGCAGTACGCGGTGGGGGTGATTTGTTCGGGCTGCTTGTTGAGCAGCTAGCCGAACCGGCTCGCGCCTATGTATTACCAGGAGGGGTAATGGAAGGATGCCCCTTGACAGCAGCCACTCAGGATTGTGGATTATGGCATCAAAAAGCAGGAACAGGAACTTGAAAAGGGCCATATATTGATACATTGATGTGGATGACCACTTTGTCACTGCCTTTTAATATAGATACTAATGGTGAGGCAGCGATTTTGAACAGGGTTGCTGAGATGATCCCAGTTCATACTCGCCCTTCCCACCCATCCGGCGGCATTCAGACATGCAGCGCAGGAGGGGCTGTAGGATCTTCTTGAATTCATTTCTCCGCCAAAGGCAGCCTCTCCTAGACAGAAGGGCCCATTTTTCTCTTTTTGTGTCGGAAATTCCTTTCCTTTGCAAGGCAGATGCCCTCTCTTTGAGGGTAGTGTGTCCTTGTGTTACGTCCGTGCTCTGTGACCTTGGGGATGCTGTGCCAGTTTTACCACTAAACATTTAAGTGAGGCAGAACTACCCTCAGCTTATCCATGGAAGCGGCAAGCCAGTAAGTTCTGTTCTTTCTTTGCTTAGATGGGGCATGCCTGCGCTAAGCAAAGAAATTATTAGTGCAAACTGATGTGGCTTCTGCAAGCAACATAACCGGCAACCATTATGTATCACTATGTTTTAGGCCTCCTGACGCATTTATCCTGTAGTGCTGAGCACTGTTGTTGGGAGCAGGGGCTTTGGGGTAAGGTCCGAATGTGTGGCATTGCGTTCTGGATTGTGTTAGGAGGTTTGTTTCGACGTTTGTGGCATCTTCACGCTGAGGAGAAGCCATTGAGACCAGCCCAGGTCAGGCAGACCTGAGCAAAAAGACCTGCTGAGCGGGTCTCAATGCTTCGTCTCCGGTGTGTAACCGTAGGAGTTGCTGCACTAAGTAACGCTTGTAAAATGACTTGGTCCAGCTGTTTTGTTTGGGCATGAGGCATTGGAGAAGTCTTATACGCCTAAGGCGTTCCAGTCAACAACAGCTTCTTCCATTTTTTTTTTTTTCATGTAGATAAGGTTATCAAGAACTATCATGTTAAGAATACAGTATGTGCCAAAGCATCCTTCTTATCTACTCAATTTATTGGTTTCGGAAAAATTTGAACCGCCCCATTTTTAATGCCCTTTTCCCCCCAGTCTCTTTATCGAATGCGTGATAACAGCATTGCAAACAGCCAAATTGTGACCTTCTGAATTCTCTAATGCTTGGCACTCTGTAAGCGAGAAGAAAGAGTGAGGTATAATTGTGTTTATGTTGAATTGGTTATAGTTTGTTTTCTAATATATGTAAATTAGGTATGAGTCATTAACCCTCACTTGTGCGCTGCTGTATATATGGAATAATTTAAAGATGATTTTGAAAGCCTGCAGAAAAGAAAATCTAAATGATTAAATCCATGTTCTTTCTTTTAAAGCAACTGGAAGAAAAACTGAAAGGACAGGCTGATTATGAAGAGGTTAAGAAAGAATTAAAGTAAGTGTTAAATGCTTACATAATTTTTTCACAAACTCTAGTTTAACAATGCTTGTTAAGCGAAGCCACAAATCTGTGTTCTTGGAACAATAAAGAATTCAGTCAAAACCACAAAGACAGGGAAATAAGGAGTCTTGGCTGAAATTGCATCCAGAACCAGTGCAACTGCTGTGCGTGAGACTTGCACTCCTTTTTTGTTGCAGCAGGATATTGCAATAGGGAATAATGGCAGTGTCCGTGAAGAAGGGGCTCTGAAATTACGGTCCACCCAGGGTAAAAAGTTTGGAAATCTCTGATATTTTAGATTGACGACTCGACATGAAACTATTGGTTAGGGTTTTCTAATGTGGACCCACGAATTTAACGCAGGGCTTTTGGCCGTAATACCCTTTCTCTACTTCTGCCAGCCGTTGTCCAGCGCTTACCATTTTAATGCTTGTTTCACAGTATATTTTTGCTAGTATATTGTGGTTTTAAACTAATGCAGCAAATAGTCTCTTCCTGATTCAAGGTTTTCTTAAGAGACTTAAAAGAGCCTCATTTTAAACTATAACAGGATAAACTACGAGGATCGGAAG